GGGGGGGGGGGGGGAATCAAAAAACCACAAAGCCTACTTTGTATTATCATCATCAATACACTGTGGCCTTCATTTACCCACAAATGTTAAATGTGGCCCTAATCCTTGCTGTTGCACAATGCTGATACCATTCAAATGACTGTATATTTCAGGAAGTTAATTAAAGTTTACGCATTACAAAGTCTCCTTTGAGTTTAGCTTGACTCCTGGTGATTATATGGACGCATCCCTTAGCAGCTTACAGAAATAATTCACCAGTGCCGCCTTCTAGGATATTTTTCTCACATACCAAGATTAGCTTACAGCCCTGGTGGTCTCCCATTCAGTTAGTAACTAGGACTGATGCTCTTTAGCTTTTATGAAAGACGTCAAGGTTGGCTAGGTGCTGCTCCATAGCTAGGGTGTTCATTATGCTCCCTTCCCTTTGACTCAAGGATTACCAAAAGCTGCTGTCATCAACCAGAGGAAGGTGCTCATGGTGTCCCTCATATTCTCCTTGTGTGAAATCAATGCCAAGGACATCATTTATACGCCGCTCCCACTGTATCATTCAGCTGCACTTCTTATTGGAATTGCAGGATGCTTGGAGGTTGGTATGTACCACATATCCATCAACAAATATATAAGAGCTGTGAGACTGAAATACAGTAATAGTACATTGGTGAAGAAACAGATAAATGTAGTGAGAGAGATGTTCATATTGAAGCGGAATGTATGTATGTATTAGATTTTGGTCCAAAATTTGAGGTTTGAGTTGACTGAGCCTATATATATGTGTATGTGTGTATGTGTGTGTGTGTGCATGCACGCATGCGCCTTCAGCATTGACTCCTGGTGATTGCCAGGACAAGTCCCTGCAGTTTTCTTGGCAAGATTTCAGCAGCGGTTTGCCATTGCCTGCTTCCTAGGGCTGAGAGAGAGTGACTGGCCCAAGGTCATCTAGCTGAATTTGTGCCTAAGGCAGGACTAGAACTCTCCCGGTCGCCTGGTTTCTAACCTGCTACCTTAACCACTGCACCAAATTGGCGCTCTTTGATTGAGCCTACAACTTATTTATTTATTTGGTGTGCCATATAAAGTGACTGATGGAAAACCCTGAATTCTTCTACAATTCCTGTTATTTTCTCTTTGTTTTTAACAAAAACTTTAGGTATCTGACTCTTTTAATCTTAGCTCTGGAATCACTTTAAGTACTAGAAATATTTAATCAAGTTCTGAAATGAGATGGAGGGAGGGGGAGAGAAGGGAAGAGAGAGTTAGAATACATGAATAGTTGTTTAATTTGTTTCTTAAAAAGCTGTTTTATAGCAGAATCCTCCCAGAGAGACACTGTAAAGAAATCCTTCCGATAGTACATAGCAGATAAATAGTGATAGAAAGGGATGAGATGTCACAAATTCTGGATTAGGGGAATTACTCCCACCCCCACCCCACAGCCCCAACCATTGAAGAATAGCCAAAAACAAAAAGGTCAGTTTACACAGTGAGCATTTCAGAACCCTGAGCCATTTGTTCTTCTTTCCTTTCTTGATCCATACTTGGAGTCAACCAGTCAAATTAATGGGTCTACTCTAGATATGATGTAAACCTCATTTATTTCAACAGAGCTACATTTTTTAAAACATTCTTTCTATTTCTGTTTTGCTTCTAATTGACATCTTAGAAATCCCTAGTTACTGAGTTGTTTAAAATGGATAATGGAAAAGAAAGAAATATGATATACGTATACTTTATTCTAAACTCTATGTCCTAATGCAAAATTCTTGGTGTATACCATTTTGCATACCTAAATATGGAGTTAACAAGCAAATATACTCCAAACAGGAAGAAATGTCAAAAGCAGCACCAAACAGAAAGGATGCCATTCACAATCAGCCCTCCCCAGTCTGGTTCCTTCCAGATGTATTGGGACTACAGATTCTCAGAATTTGCAGACAGAATGTCCAATCCCAGCATCTTGAGAAAAGAGAGGGAGGGAGAGAATTTTAATATGACTAAAATGTGCCTTCAAGGAAACATCATGAATCATTTGTTCAAAGCAATCAAAAGACGAAACTACACAGTTTGGTTTTTCGAAACGGTTCTTTAGTGGCCACATTTTATTTGGAAGAAAAGGCAGCTGTCAGATCTGCAACATGCTGGTGACCCCACGGCCCCACACTGATTTTCTGCTGAAAGCAATCTTCCGCCTGTAATTCATTCTCCAAGATACTGGTTGCAGCAATCAGTCAAGGAGGTGGTAGCTTTCAACATGCCTGAAATATAGGAAGAACTCCAAATCTCATACCTGAGCCTGAGTTTGGTGTGATGGTATTCAAGCCCATTATTCCATTAGTGACACTCGTTGATTTGAACGCATTTTTCTGCTGCTTCATTGAACAATAACATCTGTCCTTAAGTAACCTTCTTTATCTGTTTTTCACAAGGAGCTACCTGTGTCTTAGGGCCAAAGTTCTCTGTTTCCAATTTCTGGAACAACTGCAGGCGATATAATGTTTCTGTGATCCAATATGTGGGAGAAACAATGCGCTATCTATGTAATGCACCAAAGGTAATCAAAAGAGGATATGGATATGGATATGGATATGGATATGGATATGGATATGGATATGGATGTATGTGTATATGTATATGTATATGTATATGTATATGTATATGTATATGTATATGTATATGTATATGTATATGTATAT